AGTTCTCCTCATTTTTGTATCAAGTATGAAACTATGAAAAAAGAAGATCTTTATAAGATTGTCTACACTACCTAAATTCAAAATTAAAATTGATCTTTTACATAACAATGAATGGAATTGATATATATGTAAACTAGCTCGTGTAAAAAGTCACAGTCTAAAAACACAGGCTACAGCATGTCCTTGTAAAGGCTCCTAAGGAATTGCTAACATCTGCATTTGCAATTTTTACGTTATAATAAGCGGATATCTGGAGGTCACTTCTTTAGTTTTCTGAAGCGATTACAAAAAAGATCTCGAACACCCGTGACACAATACATCTTTCAACAATGAGCAAAACCTATTCTTCAAGTAAGCTACAAAGTGCAACGACATGGAAAAATATGAAATATTTCATAAGAGAAAACCAACGGCCTGATTTATGTTTAAGCAACAAACAAACAAAAAATACGACAGATATCAACCACTGAGTTACAGGCTCCTGACTTAAAACAGGCACAAAAAGAATTTGACAGAAATATATGTGTGAGCGCTCAGTTCTCGCCTAACCTAAACACCTAGGATTGTAGTGTAACGGCAAAACATTAGAGCGAACCATAAAAATAAGTTGGAAAAGGCTTGAATCATCAGATCGACATTAATTAGATATAAGAAGATGTGGTATGAGTGCCAATGAGACAACTCTCCATCCAAGTCAAAATGCACACCAAAAACCTTAACAAAAGACAAAAACCACAGGGTTTTGATTTAAGAGTACTCGCAGCTACTAAAAGCTAGTTCAAAGTCAAATCCAAATTATATATAAACCATGTTTTCAAAGATAACAATTTCAAAATGTATACATTCAAATGATTTAGTATAAAGACGTCAGAATAAGTCTGAAAAAGTATGACCATATGCAATGCCAACATATATGTATCGACAGGTTGTAAGACACACACGTAAAACTGTTCCTAACTGTGTAGCCATACATATAAAGTTGTTTTTAAATTTATAAAATATGCAAAAACAAGGTAAATACCGATGAAGATAATATTCAAAGAATTTATTACAGTGTTTAATGGTAACATTTAAGAATACTTTTATTCAAAGGACCAATTATATAACAAGGATCGTATCTAAATGTATGGGTTCTGTCAACAACATCAACGTAAAAAGTAGGATGTGATCTTTCTTTTGTAATAGAATTTCTACAGGTTAAGCCAATCTTCCAAACCAAATATATGTATCTATGAAAGAATTAAGTAAAGATTGAACGTAATTTGTGGAAACTTAATTCCTGACCCGATAATTTACCAGTTATACATTGAAATCCGCATAGCGAATCAGTTGTGTAGTATACACTTCATATTTGATATATCTGCAACTTTTCGATTGTGTAAATTTAACAAAAATTGACGCAACCTCATAAAAGCTCAATGACAACAACCCAACAAATCAATAAAAAAACCCACCTTTTTTAAGGTACAAACACACACACAAACAACGATAGTAGTATAAAATGTTTCAAATGGCCACTATCAAACACATGTTCTTTTCCCATCCAATTGGGGTATTTGCTATATAAAAATAAGATGTGGTATGATTGCTAATGAGACAACTCTCCACAGAGAGCAAATGACTTAGAAGTTAACAACTATAGGTAAGCGTACGGCCTTCAACAATGAACAAAACCCATACCGCATAGTCAGCTATAAAAAGCCCCGAAATGACATGTAAAACAATTCAAACGAGTAAACTATTGGCCTGATTTATGTACAAATAATGAACACAAAAAAAATGTGATATACAGCAACAAAAGACAACCACTGAATTACAGGTTCGTGATCACTTGGGACAGACAGAGGCCAGAGGCTAGAGGGTGATCTTACACTGACACACCAAGTCCGAGTGGGATAACTATTTTACATCTCTTCTAGACTATATGAAAAAAACATTTAACGTTTCATAACATCTAGATCAGAATGCCATACAATAATTATAATATACTTTATATATTACTATATTGCATATACCCTTTATGAGCCCCGGATACAATGTTTAAATATGTTAAATTTACAGTTTTTGTATCCAGTCGTCCTGTCCTGGTGTAGGGGTATGAATAAAGATTAAAAAAAATGAATCATGGTTTCATATGCTTAAGGTCTTGAGTTCGATTCCCCGCATAGACACTGGAAATTTCGTGGATTTTTTCTACATAAATTTTGAAAGTTAGTCTTCATTCCACATAAATATTTCTAAGTTTTATTGTGTGTTCAACATTCCCGCCAAAATGTAACAGAACAAATGAAAGCACGCAGAAGAAAGAAACTCAAGGTAGGGTGATCTGGTAGGGGTGATCCGACTCAGATCACCCCTGTTAGAACAAAGGAGTTGGGATGTTATTAAATATAGCCATGGCAAAAAACCTGATTAACTTTATCCATTAATTGAGCAGGATATGCTCACTATTCCCGATCACCTGAGATCAACTCCAGTCTTTGGTGGTGTTTGTGTTGCTCAGTCATTAGTTTTTAAAATAGTGTTTTGCGACCTTGTTTGTTTGTTTTTTTTGTTGGCTTTCATTTTGCCATGGCGATGTCTCTTTCTCTCGACTTATGTTTTGAATGTCCCCTTAAATATTCAGCCTCTTTTTTTCTAGTGGAATACGCAAAATTATTATAACTTAAAGTGACACGTGAAAAAAGCATGTGTGTTTAATTATGAGGCATGTTTTACTTTTAGATTAAATGAATTCGACAAAAAATCAATGTGTATTAAACTATTCATTCTATATATCCAAAAGCCATTAATTTAAACAAATACTGTGGATTCATTTATTTTCGTAGGTACCAAAAGGAAAACCTGAATTTTCGCGGATATTGGATTTCGTGGTTTTGCCAAAGTTTGTATACAAACCTATAGAAAATTTCTACTTCGTTGAACTTTTAAATTCGTGGTTCACCTATTCCCACGAAATCCACGAAAATTGGTATCCCACAATTTATAATGAATCCACAGTAAGATACAAATAACTCTTGTGTAATCAAGCTTTCTTTTTTCATGGTACAACATAAACGAATAAACAAGTTTCCTCATAAAGTTAAAAGAGAAATGACCAGCACACATTGTTAAACTCCAAATGACGTGGATTTAAGCTGTTATAGGTCACCGCACGGCCTTCAACAATGAGAAACATCAATACAGTATAGTCAGCTAGAAAAGGTTTTGACATTACAAGCTGTGAAACAATTCAAACGAAAAACCCAAAGGCCTTATTTTTGACAAAACAATCTAATAATTACGGATATAAACCAACGACAACCACTGCATTACAGGCTCCTGACTTGGGACAGGCACATGTAGATAGTGGCGGGGTTTGACATGTTTGTGTGCGCTCAGCCTTAACTTCCTCTTTACCTGGCACAGTGGTGTAATAACCCAACTTAAAACTTTTTTAAAAATCAGTCGGGAATGGCTTTCTTTCTTATATACTTTCTATAGATACCAAAAAAGGGGATAATAAAAAAAGACGTTGATTTTATATTTAAAATGCTCGGTTTGCTTACATATTTTGTTTAAAGTTTTAAAGGAAGAGAAAACTATGAGGCACAATACCTGTCACAGTGTCATAATCTCAAATAATTATAGTGACACCAATTGGTATTAATGCGATGTACATGTTACTGAATCAGATGTTTTTTATAATAATTATTTCTATAATTAAAGACAAAACGGATTTTTACATGCAGAAACGAGCATCATTATCGTTAAAGGAACTCATTATCACATTTTACTGATGTGAATTATGGTATTGGTTAATTTTAAGTAATTCGAAATCTTTGTAAATCTTGGGTAAGGTTCCATTTTTTTTGTACGTTTAATTTGGTGCGATATTTTTGGGGTTGGGTTTAATGAAGTTGTAATTTGGTAATTTACTTGAAATTGAATTGTTTTTGTGCGTTTTTTCTACACTATTTTTTCGTCCACATATCGAAGAAAACTGGAGAGGGTTGATTACTCATAAAACAAAATAAACACCCCATTATAAAATATAGTTTATGCGCATTCACTAAATCAGAAGTGTCATCGTCTATTGTAGCCAACTCCTTGTTCGTTTTGTATTGGGTGGGTTGATGTCAGATTTTGTTTGACACTTATATTAAAGACATTAAGCATAATATTTGTGAGCGCATGTCGTTTTTAGAAGACTAAAGGACTAGATATTCACTTTTTGTTGGTCTTGTTTTGCTTGTGAACGATTCAGTTTGGGTGAAGTGGCGATTAATTGCTGATAATACAGAATAAAATTTCCTTTTGGATTGGTGGTTCAGTTGTATGTGTCCTGAGAAGCTGCAAACGTTTAAACAAGCACATCGATTGTATCTCGTGTTGGGTTTATTTTAAATCTAATATATAAACATGAGAAACTTACGCTATTGCCCGCGATGTTAATTTTCAAAAGGTTTCTAAATTCACTGTCAAGACAAACTTTGGTGCCATTATTATTTTTTTGTCGTTTTTTTTTTAGTGAAAACTCGATCAAGGTTTTCATTCTCTTCAGATTTTCGTAATATATGCACTAGACAAGATTCGAGCTACTGGTGGCAGGGTTTTATGTCTCATTGACAATTATCCAGATAACCCTTTTACTCATGTAAATGTACCCGTATTCTTTTAATGTACTTTATATCAAATTATTCTTATTCATAGAAAAAGCTGTTGATGAATTTTGAAATATGTGTACAAAAAAAAACACACAGTAAAACGCATCGTAGCAAATAATGCATCCCCCCTAATAACCACGATTAATAAACAGACCATCTCAACCAACAACACCGGACTCCTCCGAGAAAACAGACGTCCAACAAAAGACAACCAACAATGAACAACAAAATGGTCGAAATATTTAAAATATAATCAAAAGTTATCGTGTATATATCAAATGAATGATTACGAAATGTTAAAGAAGAAAACGATATTTTTAAACAAATAATACTAATGGCATATAAAATCCTTACCGTAAAGTTTGTGTTCCCAGTCATCATCTTTCTTTTTGGTGAAAGTAAAAAAACTTGTTTTCACAAAACAAAAAAGGTAAGCACTGCCATATGATTTAATAAAATATTTCCTATATTTGTCCTGTGTTAAACAAATCTTAGTTCATCTAAAATCAAATATCAATCATAAATCTCCGGGAAATACAACAACTTATCATTTCGACTTCCGTACTTGTTTTGAATTTTAGATAATCAATGCCACGTGACTTCAACATTATCAATGGAGCGCTTGATCATTATCGCAGATATGAACATCACTTACATTCTGATAGTGGTTACAGACAATTTTCCGACGTCTGTTTCATAACAAGTTAATGGTCAGACGTATTTAGCATACTTATGTTTCTTGCGATACAATCAGACCATTAGAGTTAATGCAATTAAAATCATATTTGCATGTTTGTCAGTAGTTAATGACATCGTTTATAATCAATGCATTACTTTTTTTACTTATTTTTCTCAATTATACCAATTTTACAATTTCTTTAAAGACAACTTGCATTTCAAAAAATAGTTAATAAAATTGAGAATGGAAACCTATATTTCAAACAGTCAATATCTGAAGGGTCCTCAATGTTTTAAAAATGTCTCAATTTCAATACGAGAGTCAAACGGTGTATCTATTACAACTCTGTTAAAACTGTTTTTGTAATATGAGGCAAGTGTTTTATTTACATTAACGGTGCCAATTTTACTGCACCAGATGCGCATTTCTACAATTAATTTCTCTTCATTGAAGCTGGAGGTAAACTATACTTGAAAGTCTAATACCTAAATACAAACGTTGAAGACCTGATAGAACCAAAAAGACCAAAAGTAAAGCCAAACACAAGGAATCAGAGCTATGTTACATGTGTAACAGGACGAAGTCTGTATTATTTTTGCGATACATTTTTGTATTCAGGTATAATATACAAATTCGCTAAAACTATGCTTTAATACATGGCAGCCTTTAGTGACTGTGCAAGTACAACTGTTATAAATAAAAACAACGATCTTTGATTCACCGTAGTACATGTATATTGATTTTAAATTGATTTTTTGTTCTTGATTTTCTTTCCGTTATAACCACTTCGTTTTCTATTAAAATGTTGTCTTTTCTACAACAAACTCTTTACCATCGCCATATATCAAAAGATGTCAACAGAAAAAATTAAGGTAAGCTAAGTATGAAGCTTTAAGTTGTTTATGTATGTTGTCGTCTTGATTTTTGAATTGGGTACAAATGTGATAAACTGTTTCAGTATGTGAACTCATCTTCAAATTTACTTTAAACAATTTTGAATAAAAAAATAAAAACAAAATCCCTTTTTTTGATATTCTTATGAAACCTCATTTTAATTATATCAATATTTAGTCCCGATTTAAATTTCAAAATGTTCTCTTTGAGATCCTCCGGTACTGGTCACCATTTCATAACCTTCGTAAACATAAAAAAGCTGATGCTTATTCAAGTGATATTCAATAGAATTAAGCAGAAAGTACAGACAATCCAAAAAGCTAAGTTTTTCAACAATACGAGTATGAACTGATACTTCTAAGGATGTTTTTGTGGTATAAAGTATTGTCGGCTGATGGGATTGTTATTATGAGCTTTATTTGGTTCATATAAGGATGTGTTTGAAGTATAAAGTAGCGTCTGCTGATGGTATTATTATAATTGGCTTTATTTTGTTAAAAAAGAAATTATTCAAGCTTTTCATGTTTACCATCTCTCATTGTGAGTCATTTCTGAATGGAATATTTAAATATATTCGACTAAGAAATGAAGATTATAGTCTTACAGGGGAAGGAGTGCATAGTTTACCATCGTTTTCCGACGTGTGGACAATAATGTAAAACTTAAAATACCGCCTAAGTCAACCGAATGCCCATGTTTACCTTTATTCCTATTACGCGGCGTCTTCAGTTTCTATCTTCCCCAAAAAGCCATAGCAATATTGCTTGTTCTGCAATTTATGTGCTTTTACAGACTTAAGTACGTTCATGTTTTGTTCGGATTCCAAGCCCTCTCTTCAGGCCACGATGATATTAAAATTGAATATCCATTAATATAGAAAATTTATGATGTTATATAATATACGTAATTTAGGTATTTTTAATAAAGATCTAAAGAAACAAAGTTGTAGACGAGGAAGCAAAACATTCTTTAAAAGATGAAAATCTAAATGCAGTATACCGTATTCTGCATTTATAGCAGGGGATATATGTCTGCATTTGGAAAAAAAAACAACAGAGCTTGGAGCAAAACAATCGTTACAAGTTTGGATTAGGAACAAATATCGATAAATTGTTTCCGAAAATTTTAAATACGTCAAGACTATATGTTATCTCTAGTTGTCTAGATAAATTATGGATGAAAACGGATCGATCTTTCACGTCCAGTGGCAATTATTACATTCATATCGGGACACGAACATATCATATAAATATAAAATAAAGAGATGGGGTATGACTGCTAATGAAACAACTATCAAACATACCGTATAGTCAGCTAAAATAGGCCCCGACATGACAAAATGGGGAAAAAATTCATACAGAAATGTTTTATGACTAAACAATAAACGAAAAAATAAAAAAAGCAACCTACGACAACCATTGAATTAGGGTCTCCCCGACTTGGAACAGGCACATGTATAATATTGCGGGATTAAATAAGTTTGTTAGCGTTAAGCTCTCTCCCAAACCTAGGACAACACAACATAAGATCAAATTGTTTAAATCAGTTGAAAATGGCTTGAATTATTAGATCGGCTCGAAGCACAAAAAAGTAAAATAAATACAAAAGACACTAACTGCCGATCTAAGAGTACACTCAGTTACTTAAAGCTAGTTCAAAGACAATAACAGGTTATACACAAATCATGTTCTCTCACGTCCTATTCTGTATTATCCTTACCAGTATAGACTACCAGATCCGGACTTTTAAAGTACAAATTCACAGGATAATTTGAAAGTGTGCATAGGAAGACATTAATTTCAGCCTACATAAACAAATTATTCTGACAGCCAGGCGACCAGTCTTTGCTCTTACTCCAAAATACCGCGGGTTTAGCGAAGAAGCAGCAAATATTGATTTTAAGTGTGGTTTGACACGAACGGGGGTCGAACCAATAACCTTCCGCACTCGAGGAGAGTGCGCTAAACCATGAGCTCAACGAGGTGGTTATATCCCCTAGGAAAACCCATAATATTTAAAACAAATACCAACTAAATGTATACTTTTCAGTATACAACTTTTTATAAACGGGTTAGAATGTAGTTTTAGTGAAAATATGTAAATATATCTAATCTATATTTCTAATGTTATTCCTAGCGCAATTATTGTACAGTTTTGAAATAATATTTGATCTGTATTATGTTTGTAATTTTGCTTTACCGTGCTTTTTGTCGCGAAAAATTGTTTTGTTATGTTTAAACAAAGATTAAACTTATATGATATGAGGTTTTCTTGAATTCTAATTTTGATTTGTTTCAGATAAGATTTTGCTACAACAAAGCTTACATGTGTGATGACGCAGGTTTGAATCGCTTTCAATCATTCAAATAATGCCATATGTCTATTTGTTTGTAAAGTGTCTTGCAATTAAAAAGGAAAAGGGCTAGAAAATGAAACCCTCACTTCCTGGAGTGGATGTTTTGAAAGTACATATTTCATAAAGAATTTCACATTTAACTCTTGAATAACGATACAATATATAATAGATAACAAAACAGTACGGACAAAACAACGAAAGGTTACGTTCTTATATATATAGGATCCCCAAGGGCAACTGAGGAATAGAAATATAGTCACTTTTTGTCGTCTTCCGACCGGCAGAATAACCCTTGCCAAAATGGGGCGTCCGTTTGGTTTTGCGGGAGGTATAATTACGCAGCAACGTCCAGTCAGAATTGGAACGTTAAATTCGATGTAGAGAGAGTGCGCAATCGCTCTTGGAGGAGCCCTATGCGACTTGTTGCAAGGCTAAATTTATATCGCTATTCAATTTATCCTTATTATCCCGTGACTGTCCAAAATTCCTGCTGTTCACATCGTCGACACTTATATCATGACATCCCTATTGAATTTATTGTTAATTTGACACATGTTCTCGTCATGAACATGCATGAAATATTTGCCACAGAACGTTTAGCAAACAACAATCAATCATAAATATAAGATCAACCAAAATGCACACTATAATGAATGTCCACCGACGATACCTACACACAGTCGATCTTTCATTTCTAATCAAATTTAAATATTTACCCTATTTAAAGAAAATTTAATGTCATGAGAGATTTTTACATATTTATACATTATATCAATCAAAGAGTTAATTATCCATTTTGAAATGAAATCTATATATGCTCAGCTGTGAAATGAGTTTGCAATTTAATATTGTCTTGCCCTTAGTATCGTTCTTTAGATAATATCAGGGGAAATTTATTTCAATTTACTTTCTTAATACTTTAAAATCCCTTTCTGCGATATTATAATCTAATGATACTATTTTCGTACAATGTTTATCACTAAAAATGTTCAATACGAAACAGTACGTCAATGAAACAAGCTAAAAATGAAACAAATTATTTTACGATCGAAAATATGGAGAAGGTCAAATGTTTTATAATAAACTATAGTTTATTAACAATACAAAAATGTTTATGTCTATCGAAAAAAATTTCTCAAAAGATTTTTAGAGAAAAGTGTCGCCGGCAACTGTCAACGAATTGAAGGAATCAGAAATAAGTCTACTGTTTTTTTTTTCATTTCGTATTTTTCTATAAATCTGGATGATATGCTAATTTTTGCATTCAATCTTAAGATCTTTGATTTTTTTTATAAAAAGAAAATTTCAACATTTCTGTAAGACATATAATAATTAAACCTATACTATTTTCTGTTCTTTTATCAGCTTCCATCAGAATTATGCTCTAATGAATAAATGATTCGTGTTATTAAAGAATCAGTACTTTCTGACTATTTATTGAAAAAATCTGTCTCAAATATAACAAAGATGTTAATGAAAAACGTCAGGCGTACTGATCACTGTATATATGTGTAAATTGATTTTTGGTTTGGCCTCTCCAAGAAACTAAAAAAAAAGCAGATCCATTCTAAAACTTTGCATTTGTGCTGGGAAAAAGTTATTTCAAACAATTTGTAAACTTATACGTATTTGTGGTATAAAGAACGGAAGAATTAAGTTTTCAAAGTTGATTTTAAGAGTAATTACTGTGTCAAGTTCACGAG